GGCACCTGAGAGCAGTGACTTGAGCCGAATCACACTGAGGTGCCAGGGTCAAGTCCTGCTCCTGAGGCTCCCTGGAGATCCGGTGACGGCGATGTAGAACAAAGAAACACGGACAATGATGTACTGCACAAAGCACATCAAAGCACAGAACTTCACACAATATCAATCAATTTCATACATTACAGATCATTACAGCATCTCACTGTGTCTCACTGTGTCTCACTGTGTCTCATTGATTTTTGTTGATTCTCATTGTGTTTTCGTACCATTTTATGCTCTTGCTTCAGCCAGGCTCTGCCTGCGCCGCAGGCAGTCCGACCTTTTAATGTGGCTTTGCCTTGCTTTCGTAGCAAGACTAGCCAGAGAGCTATGTCAGCTATGTCAGCTATGTTTGTCTCAAATGACATGTAGTCTGTTCTGACCATTGGTGGGCATGGGCATGGTTCAATATTGCACAAGAAAAGTAAAGTCCTCCTACAGTTCTTGCTCTTTATATCTCTTTATCATACACGCTGGGATGGCCTTGAACTCCTCAAATGTCTCTGCTACAAGGCTGCCAGTGCTTCGTCAGAGCCAAGTACATTTAAGTGTTACGCTGGCATCTCATCATCTCAAGTGCAAAATGCAGAATAAGAAGGACCTTGCCGAAAAAATCTAGTTTTGTTCACCAAGACTCAGCGGGAAACAGCTGGGACACTTCCCTGGATGTCCGAGGTTGACAAAGACAAGGAAAAGCTGGGAATTCGAGTCGAGTACGTGCGCGAAAAATGCATCGTTGTTGTCAAAGGCTCAGCAAATTTCTGGCTTGGTCAAGAGGGAACCAAAAAGAATGGGGCGGATGGGGGAGCCTTGCCAGACTCTGAAGACTCAGAAACTGAGCCTTGCCTTGTGATGAAAGCCTTGGAGCCTTGTGATTTGCTCAGATGTGCTCCAAGGCTTTGACAGAGGGTGCGATCCCTTCGTGGAAGCTTTGGCTGCACCATCATGCACCACGCTGCACCATGCTGCACCTGTAGAGAGGTTTTGTACACTTTGACATTACTTTGACACCTTTGACCATGTTGATTTCAACAATACTTGAAACTTGAGCTGAATTAATTCTGCGTCACCGGTTTCCCGGTTTCCCTATCATGAACAAACGGCTAGGTCGGCTAGGGCTAGGTACAGCTAGGTGCAGCCACAGTCCGAGGGTTCGTAGGAAGAAGCTCACATTTGTGTGCAGCTGAGGAATGCGGCCAACGCCGACAAGGCCCGCTTCTGACATCGGTCCGAACCACTGATTTTTTTTGTTTCCAGCGAGGGTAAATGTGTTCCCACCAGGCGGTCCGGCGCGGAGACAGAATCAAGGAGGCTCGATTCAAGGGCTCTCGAATGGGTTCGTGAGAAAATAGGGTACCCCAAACATGCAATAATGACATGGTTAATCAGGTTAATCAGTTAATCATCATTTTCCCCCATAAGAATGATCATCTGGCGGGTATGATAGGTTCACCCAGTTCACCCAAATGTCATTGGCGTGACCCGATCCCACAGGTGAATGGGGAGACTGCTAAGGGCATTGAGATAGCTGAGAAACTGGCACAGAGTTCGGGCCAGGCAGCAACCCGGCGGCTCCAACACTGCTCCAACTGGGATTTGGCTTACTGACTACATATGGCTACTGTAGATGATCCTATGTGATGCTATATGTATCTATATGTATATAATTTTATAATTGATCAATAATCGATTATAACTAGAATTGTATACATGCGTACTGTACACATCATATCATTGCACATCTACCTTTCCTATCGAAGTAGAGTCATTATGACGCGGTCTTTTTCTGTCGGATGCATCACGGAGAACATGCAGTTTTCGTTGCAGCCATTGAGATTCATTGACTGAGCTTTCAGACCACCAGACCACTTGTGATCCACTTGGTGTATCGCGGTCAGGTTGAGCTTGTCGTGGAAAGACCCATTGAGATCCAGATTCCCCTGCAGGCTGCTCCGCTGCTCCAGTCGCCTCTCATGCCCCTCTTCCATGTCCGATCATGATGATCATGTACGTCTAGCGTGGCGCACTGTTTGGGATTGAATATTTGCCCAGCACACGTCACAAGAGAAACCTAGAGTCTGGAGGTGCGGTGCAGAGCATTCTTGAACTTGGCTTCCCAGTTTCATAATATGCTCATGTTTCCAGGCTGGACCCCCCTTGGGAATCAAGGCGCTGTCATCTCAAGCTGTCATTGGCCACTACCGGTTGGAACGCAGCAGCTTCAAGCTCCAAAGCATAGTTTTCTTTGCTAAGTTTCAATAATTGACTCAAGCCCGCTTGCAAAGAGTTTGGGAAACTCCCAAAGTTCAGCTGGCCCTGTGCTTTTCTGTCTTGCACTGTTGATGCGAGGTGGCAGAACTGTTGGATGGTTTCGGCTTGGAGGCTCCAAGTGTGGGGAGTCCAGGCTAACACTGAAGTGCTAGGGTCATCTTGAAGCAACAAAAGGACTGGCCGATTTGGCCGGCTCTGGACTGCCTAAGCTCTTGGCAGGTCACAGAAGTAAAACCAGAGGGTCAGGTTCCTTCCTTCAACAAGGCGCATATTCTGCCTTCACTGAACTTCACTGCACTGCCTGAAGCATCCTGAAGCTGTGTGACGTCAGAATTACAGACGTCACGACCGTCACCATCGCGCAAGGAGAACCAACTGAAGGTGAAAGAAAGCGATCGCATCGCAGCGGTCAACGGTGACTGAGCTGCAGTCGGATCTTCGATCAGCCTGGTGAGTTTCACAGCAAGTGGTGACAGGGAAAATCACGAAAGGATTCGAAAGGTAGCGAACAAATGGAGGGTTACCTTGAGTTTTACATAGTTTTACCTTACGGAGTAAATGGAAGGTTCCCAACCCATACCGTCCCAATGATCGCCTAAGACAATATCACTTTTGATTCCTGCCCCAACTCCTTGCCCCTCCCCCACGATTAGTTGTATGTGTGACAAAAGAAAATCAAGACCCAGATTTGGGATATACGCTGATGTGCCATATTTTCATGCAAACCTTTATGCCTGGTTTTGTGCATTTGATCTCTAATTGCATGGTGGCTTGCTGCTGTTTTCAATCAACAAATATCAACAATTTCTATCCCACGCAATATCACTCACAAGTCGTCATCGTCATGGTCATCATCCTCGTCCTCGTCATCGTCATTGTCATCGGTTGGTATGGCGTACCACCAAGCCTCTTTCAGTTTCCATTTTTGCTTTAGTTTCCTTTACTTTCGTATTCCCCTTCTCTGGCTGTCTCTATATGTCTCAGGAAAAGAGGCGAATTCAACCGAGCTCTTTGAGATGATCTCGTCTGCTGACTGCAAGGCCAAGATGTCATTTGTTTCTTGACGCGTCGAAAAATCAGAGAAAGGCACACGAGCGGCAATCTTAGATCAATCTTGGAGATAACAGTTTTGAGGGGCGAACAAAATCCAAAGTTGAATGCATGTTGCTTGATGTCGCATTGATGTCCAACGCAGATCAATGCTGTGTGCTTATTTGTTGAGTTTGTGCCCAGAAGACTTGCAGGAACTGCTGGTGTATGCCTATTCGTGAGAAGCTCTAGAGGACGCGGGTGTCAAGGATTCTGAGGGTATGTACTGTACGACAATTTGAAAGCAATGCTTCTTTGGTACGATTGTGGCACAATGTGACTAGCTTTGCTTGTAATCCTGTCAGTGTTCATCATGTCTTCAACATTCGCAAGAGGGGCTTGAGAGCGTCAGAAAGGCATGGACCAATACTGCTGCATCATGGGCGCAGTCCTGTATAGTAGATTTATGGGATTTACGGGGGTTGGCGGGAGGTTGTCACATCTTGGTTGTGAATCTACTGATGATTACTGATGCTATCCCTGTTGGCAGGAACACATATGCAAGAGAGAGCAAGAAAGTTTGCAAATTCGAAGCATTGCTCGCTTGGGGCCTGCAATTGGTAGACCACGCGACCGCCATGCTGAGTGAACGCCACGCTGAGCTGCAAGTTCCCCTAGTCTTACAGTCCTAAAATGCCAATGGCCCAAACACGTTTGAAGATGGAATAGTACTATTTAGCTAAGATGGCCTTGCAGTTGCGGCTTGTTTTAGGGCGGCTGAGGAAGTCTCACACCAGACCACAGCAAAGCGACTGCTCCAACTCAAAAGGCGGTGAATCCCTGTTCTCACAGGCCTGAAGCAACTTTAAACCAGCGAAAGCGAAGGTTAGTGTTTGCAGAAGGGTTAAAAGCGTTACAGAGCCAATCGCCAAAGCAAGCCTGTTGAATAACACATTGTATATCCTTGGCGTTCCTTAGCTAAATGCTGTTGGCCTCCACATTCTGTTTCGTACCATCGCCATCACGCATGGTCCTTTCGAACGAAGTTGTGCCTGTCCAATGTTTTTCAATAGAACACACTTGGTCAATGTCTGGGTCGGGTCAATGTGAACTCCTTGCCACTCTCAGTTGCAATGACAGTCGAAACTGCAGGTCCTTCACCAGGGTGCCTGAAGGGTCTTCACGCTGCCTTGCAGCCTTGCGGAGTGGGTGACCAAAATGTAGCTGGTGCGTGGCTGGTGATTTTTGCCGGCGTTTTTTTTTTTTAACACTCCCATTTTTTCCCACAGCTTCAAGGGGGATTTGTCTCGCCCCTGTCGCAGCGAAGACAGCCGTCCCAGATTTGATTGATACAATGATACTCCGAAACATTCGGAAACGTATGCAGCAAGTATTTTGTTGCCTGTATTTCGTTGTATACCCGTCCTTCACATTTCTGGCCCACAGCGCAGACAGCCATGCAACTCCTAGCACCCTTGCCACAGGGTCCACAAGAATGAGTGAGGCATTTTGGCCCCCTGGATGCCCTGGATCAGTTTATTTGAGCGACATGCGATTTGTGAAGCAATTTCACAATTCACCATTCGCCATTCACATCCTGTAGCCCCACAAAACTTGGAAACCTCTGGTGCTGGATCGTGTCCCAACAACAACAACACCTCATGGGAGACCTTCGGGCGGCTCCAGAGGACAATCACTGAACCCCCGGGCATGAACATAACACTACATAACCTGTCATGAGTCATAACCTGATATCTGAGTTGAGGGCTCAATTGCATTCAATTGCAGCAATCTGAGTTTTCTTCCTTTAACTCCTTTATGGAAATTGAGCGTTGATCCCGACCTACGGTAGTGTCTTCGTTTAAACTCTGGATTCTTGGATGCGTGGTGGCCCTACCCACTTCCGGCGTCGATCTCCATTATGCTGCTGAGCATTGTGATTCTAAAAACTTTTTGAATCTTTGTGATGGACAATTCTGCCGCCTGCAAAGTCACCAAACCTTCAGACCTGAACCTTGTTAACATGCTATAAACATCTAAAAACAAAGGCGACACACCAGAGTTGTTTTGGCCAGGAGCCTGCTGCTGAAGCTCAAAGTAAAGCACCCAAGGTGCAAAGTGAAAGAGAAGGTGTCCAATTGAAGGACTCTAAGACGAAATCCAGGCAAGGTTCCCTTGAGCATGTACCAAATCTGTGCCAAATACTAGCAGATGTTTGCAGCATATGCAGCTATCCTATGCATTGATTTTTGTCAATATCAGAGTCTTTCCTTTTTTTTATCACATTTGCCACTGAATCAACACTGAATCGATACTGCAATGCCCAGGGTTCGCTTGGTCGAGTGCGGACCTCTTGTGGGTGCTCAGACTCGGCCCAGCGGCCGCGCTGGCACCCACTTGCAGTGGGCATCAACTCCAACGGGGCTTCCTGGCATCCGTGTGCTGGAGGGATTGGGCAGGTGACCGCTTGCGCACATGACAGCACAGTACAGAATGACCATGAATGACTTAGAATGCATATCCCCCCTGCTTGATGATTTTAATCTTTTGATTTCTTTTGAAAGTCTTGCGCTCTCGGGATCGCTTGGGCAGAAAAATCATCCATTCATTTGCCTATGCGGTAAACAATGACAGTCTGGGATGGCACAATTTGCAAGCCTACGTTGCCTCAGGCAAAGGGTGCGAGTCTTTTCTACAACGGCAATTGCTCCAAATCGCCAACGCGACAAGTCCCTTTGCTTCTTTGAGTTTCAACAAAATGTTTCAAAAGTTATTCAACATTTCTCAGGTGCAGAATTGTCACGTTTTTTTCCTTATAATCTTATATATTATAATTATATATAGTTATTATATATTCACTATGCGTTCCATTTTCAACAAAACCCAGCAACACGGGAGAGCTGCTCACAGAACCAACTTGAACTGAGCAGTCCAAGATCTCTCAGATCCGAGTCAGATCCGAGGTCACGTGTTGAAAACAATGTGGGTCTTGCTGAATTTGGAGATGCCTGGACCGAATTCTACAGTTCTGTAGATGGCCTGCCTGTGGCCAGAGGCTACGACAGAATTGTGTATGGAGATCATGGTCCTTACGTAGACGCTTGAACTGTGAATTCAGATATGGGCCATGGGTCTTTCTCCAATTGCCAAGCTGCTGTAGGTTTTGGTTCTTGGCAGATGGGACATGGCACCTCTTGACACATATGGTGACAACACTTTTTCAAACTCTTGAATGAAAACAGTCATCGAACATTTTCGCCCTGCTGTTCGGTCTGCAGGAATTCTCTGGTCATCAACTTTGCTGGTCAACCTTCCCAGTCTTTGTGGAAAAACCTGAGATGAGCTTTTTCGACGAGTACTACACAGTGGAGGGTTCGACGATGTTGTACGCTCAGAAGCGGACAGTTGTCAACAAACCAAATCCACCTTCTGGTCCGTGGTCAGCGCAGAACAATCGGCCCGAAGGCTACGCCAACTACTTAATTGGCAAATTCTACCTCGCCTGCGAGCCCAACGTGATCACGGTGAATCGGCCCTACTCCAAGAAAAAGCGACGGGGGAAGGCAAAAGAGGGGCAAGAAGCTGGTGAAGTGCCCGAAACTGACATTGTGGAGGATGAATGTCAATGGTGGGATGGTCAAGAGGAAAGTGCCTGGACTCAAGAGACTCAAGAGACTCAAGAGTGTCAAGAGCCATGGCCGCAAGACGTATCCTGGACACAAGAAGGGCAAGTGCAATGGCAGCAACAGGAAGAAGTGCAATGGATGCAAGAGGGATGGCGAGAGCAGGAAGGACCTTGGACAGGAGCCGATGGAGCCGAATGGTGGAGTGCTTGGCCAACGGCAGAAACGGCAGAAGCCAATGGCTGTCTTGGAGCCATTCCAGACTGGCAGTTGCAGCAGTATGGTCAGTATGGCTATTACGCGGAGAGTCAGCAAGAGACGTATGCAGGTAGCTCCTATGTTGCCAGCGACGGCGACGCCAGCAGTGCAACTATGTCCAGTCAAAAAGGGAGCGCATTGGCATTGATTGGCATTGATTGGCATTGCAGGTCACTTTGCTGTAGAGAGTTTGTGGCAACAAGTTGAAGGTGCGCATCACTTGACATGCCAAAATCAAGGGATGCAACGGGTCTGGATGTGTCTCGATTTGTTTTTGGCTCACAGAGATCTGTTTGGGTTGCGTCCTGTGGCCTGAGATTGCCAGGCGAGGTGTGATTCTGGAGATTCTGGAGGTACTTAAGAGGTTTGGAGATCGGATATGTTTGGATAATCATGATGATCCGACCGGATCTGACGGGATCAGACAACGTAGAGACGTAGAGGTGAAAACCCGACACTCATCTAGAAATGGAATAGACAGTGTACACTCATTGTCAATTCGCTTCTCTGTACATTTCATCCATGCAGCACGCAACCCTCATCTCCCCTGACGAATCGCCCTGAAGACTCTGAACATCTCTGAACACAGCTCTCCAAGGCTGCCGCCAAGATGTCGCTTATGAAGCGGGGCGGGTGCAGCTGCCATGTCGGCCATGTCGATTTGTGCTTCGTATCCTGCCTCCTTTGTCATGTTTGCCAGGTTTTTGCTGGTCCTAGTCCTTCTGATTTTGATCACCATAGCTTCGACTACCACAAAGTGAGCCACGAGTTGATGATGACCAGGAAAAGTTTGGAAGATGCCTTGCCCGCTGTCATTGAGCAGAGCCACTTTAGGATGCTTTAGTTTTGGTGAAGAATTTGTCACGATACTCTTACAGAAACAGTATAGAAACCCAATGAAACGCATCTCATATTCCTTCGATAGGTGGGCTGCAAGGGCTGGGATTGTGCAGATTGGCCACAGCTGAGGTACTGGACTCATTGGCTCTCGGTAACGGCAGCTTCCCCAATGTGACGGGGGATGATCTCCCAAGACTCCGACAGGATGTTGTCAGAACATGATTGTCATGGGCCTTAAATGGGCCTCCAAATGCTTGGCAGTTCAGGATCAGAATCATCCAACATCATTGAGCAACGTAGTAGAATGATGTAGACACGAGGCATGCAGTGTTTTTATTCGGGTTCATTTTAAGTTTTTCTTCATTGAACAACTGCGACTTGTGGAGCAGACTGAGATGGCAAGGTGACTGTGGGCAGCCTGCTGGTTGTGGACCTGATGTTCCTGGAAGAGAAGTGCTCCCGCACAGATGTGGCCAATATTTGCAATGCTTTCAAAGGCGTTGATTGATATCACAATGAGTCTATGAGCACACACCATATGCTCTTATGTCCCAACAAGTTTGGTGTGTGTGCAATGGTTGTGAGTTCTGAAGTTGACGCTGGAGATTATTCACCAAACGAGACGCCATTGATGCAAACCCTTTCCATTGTACTCGGATGCCACAGCACGAGCAGAAATTTCCAACATATTCCAGACCTATCCAAGAATCAGCATATTTAGCAAATCAAGCGTTATATCATGTGATGTTATATTATATCTTTATATATATATACGTGTATGTATATATATATATGTATATATATATTAATATAAATCATATGTTCAACGTGACGGTCACAAAACTTGTGAGTGGTGCTGTTTACGTCGGCCGGTGCTCGACCTGCTGAGTGCCTTCGTGTTCGACCCCTTCGCCGATGTGCAGAAGATGTAGGAGGCAAAGATGGTTCATTAGATATATTAGATCGACGTGAATCGACATGTGTGCCATGGTGAAAACACGGAGGATAGATGAGGATGGTCATCGCTCCAGGATTTAGAATGGCCGATATATGGATTCCCAGGAATGGCGTGCTAATATATCAGTTTTGACCATGGCACATGTGATGGGTCATCATGTCGGTGACTCAAGTAGCCTCTCACTTTTGGGCAAAGCACGCACACTTTAGCTTTGTCATGATCGCTACACACACACAACCTGGGAGTCTGTCTTCAGCCTTCAGTGTCCGCAGTTTCAAGCTGGTTCTTCTTGTAATTGTAAGCACCATTAAGCAACTGAATGGAAGTGAATAGCCATGCGCCATGTACTGTATGTGTCATAGGCTATGCTGGGAAGAGCACCTCTACCTGCACGGTTCCCGTTGATATGCACTGCTGACACATAGTGGAACATTGTGAAATATAATATATATATATATAAATAAATAAGTTGACTATAGTTGACTTTAATATAGATTAATGCTCTTGGTTGGCCAGACAGACAACTCAAAAGCCCTCACCTGTGGCTGCGGGTCACAGCGATGGCGGACGCTTCTTTGCGCGCTCACCGTTCTCAGCCATGGCACGATGCCAAAGCTGGCATCACTGCTCAGAGCGGTTGGTCACGAGCAACGCTGGTGGGAAGCACTGGAGTTGCTAAAGCATTTGTGGCACCGGAAGGAGAGGGATGTCCGATGATGTCCGGATGTGAAATGGGAACTGATTCCGCATGCTCTCGCTTTTTCGTCTCTGCAAAAGAGTCCTCTCGACAAAGCAGTGTATAGGTCTATTATTGAACGCTATTGAACCCAATTCCTTGAAGTAAAGCTCATTGACAGACACCAAACTTGACAGGCCTGACCGCATCATATTGGTTGATGTGCAGGACAGGGACCAAGGTCTACGTGCTGTGGCATCCTTATGTCAAAGGCCTAAACCTCACAGATCTGGCTACAAAACCCAGAATATTGATGGCAATTGACATCATTGCACATAACTCTGTAATGTGTATATTACAGTACATGATATATTACTTGTCTTAATAGATCATATTATAAATAGTAAATGAAATACCCATATTAAATATGTAGTATCTATAGTATAGATATGCATTATATATATATAGACTATAGATTTATATAGAAATTTCCATAGAGCGCACCAGCTCCCTCGGGGCGCTGTCAGCTGCCAGGGCCTCAGCCTGGCAACAGGCGCTTGCTTTGTGCGGATGGCACAGGTGCTGAAGTCGGGAGGGGGTTGGCAAACCAAAACTAAGATATATATATACAATATGTATAGAAATATATATATATATAAGATATTCCATCATATTTCAAGATATTCTATTTAGATTCTGACCAGGTCTTGGACTCTTGGATGTAGATTGACAAAGTCATTGACAAAGTCTTGTTGTGGTGCCACTTTCCCAAATTCATTGGCGCAGTTCGGAGCATTCCTCCATCGTGGCAACTTCCTGGGCTTCTGGCAGTCGGTGGGAAGAGGTGCCTATGTCTATGTTGAGGTGTTGGTTGATGACTCGATGACTGCTTTTGTTTCATTCCTATTTGCACCATTGTGCACCCTGCATCGGAGAGACTTGCAAAATGTTGCAAATAGAATTGTTTTTGCACACAAAAACGAATAGGAGAGGAGCGTTTTGTGCAGCTTTGTTCTTAACTACGGCTCCTGCCATCAACGAAAGGACACTCTTTGCCGCCCTCACGAAGTACCACAAAGTACGCGGTTCTATATTCTTGGGAGATTGCCGAATCTTGTGTCCAGCATCATTCGTGCTTGTGTTTTCAGCCCAGGCGTTATGTGTGCTGGCTGATGCAGAAACCGCAGCTGCAGCAGTGCAAGCTACAAGCAGAGCTGCCTGCATAGAGGCTCACCTGGTGGGCTTGATGCAGCAGCCTTGAATCAAAGAATAGCTGCAGCGGGCAGAAACTACCAATATCATTCGATATCGAAGTATGTCCCAGTCACCTTGGTATGCAAGTCGCTGCCAACTATCGAAATGGCTACATCAGACCTCAGACTTTACCAAACAAGTTCATATACCGCAAGACAAGGTTGGCAAGATTCTGTGGACTGCTCACGCCACTTTGCATTTGCATCACACCAGAAGTCTGACAGGCTGCGGTGCATTTGTTGCGCCGCTTGCCTAGTGATCCAAAGCTATCTACCAGCTTAGTGGCGGCCTGTGGAAAGGTCTTCGAATGGCGCTCTGCATTGCAGGTGTGAGCTCACTGTAGTTTGTGCTTAGGCCATGCTAGGTTTGGACATGTTCGGATTCGGACATGCTGGAAGTCTGGAAGTATCGAACATTTTCTGATGATGGTTAAGCCATGTTTGAACAGGACTGCACGTTTCAATCAGGGACTTTACCTCTGGAGCATGGTCAGCCTGTCATGATTCCACACTCGAGGTATTTGGCCACCTCCAGGAGAACGATGTTGCAGACGTGATTGCATACAATGCGACCATGACAGCTTGCGGCAACGCACATCAATGGACACAAGTTACCTCGTTTGACGGCAATGCCGGCAACGCTTTCCTTTTGACCGTTTGATTCATCTTTTGACCGTTTGATTCATCCCATGTTGTTTGCGCAAACTGGCCGTATAGTTGCCTTCTACTTGTCAGTACCACCCAGGTCGGCCCCAAGTGTTTGGAGGTGAGGTTGAAAGATGTTCGAAGCCAAGGTCCTTCAACTGTTTGAAGAACTCACCGCCACTTTCACCGACTCAAAATGGGAAGCGGAGGAAACCCGGGGAAATCTCAGAGCTTTCACAGCTGCGATGGATGCGTGCAAATTTGCAAAGATGCTTGGCTGACAAAGTCAGGAACCAGAAAACAAACTTGAAGTCTTTGCTTCCAACATTCTAGATATTCTAGAACCTTGACATATTTTGGCCTTCGACAATCTACAGATGATCTCCATATTGGCTTTATTTATATTCATCTATCTGATCCTGAGCAGTGAAGGAAATGGGCACTTGCGTTGCTGCTCTTTGAACAGATATCTGAACAAGTCGTGCCAGACTTGCCTGCCTTCGGTGCTGTGATCGCAAACTGTGCTGTGGCTGGACGATGGATGCAGGTTCTTTGCCTCCTGGAGAGCATGGGAAAATTGAAGATTGAAGTAGATGTTGCCCATCAAACTGCAGCTCGAAGGCACTCTTAGAGTCTTACATCAACTTACATCTATCAAAAGCAGGTTGCTTTTTGCATCTTTTTGCATCTTTTTGCCCCTGTTTCTTTCGATAGTAGTCTTTTGATGTCTTTTGGGCAGAAGCTTGACCGAATCCTACCAAGAAGTCACACCAGGCATTGATAGATGCCATGGCCAAGAAGTCTGAGTGGTCGCGCGCAGTTGCAACTCTGAATCGGATCGTTTTGGACGGTGGGCAACACTTTCACGACTTCACTGGCCCAGCGGTTGAAAGCTGCCAGGCAGCAACGCAGTGGGAGGTTGCGCTGCACCTTTGGCAGATGTTTCCATCCATTGCAGCAGGTCATTGTCTTCTCCTGGCATTACACCAGGTAAGTCTCGAGTTTTGTTTTCAAAACATCTACGGTTATGTTTCTGACATTTTTCGGGTTTTCTGTCTTAAACAACTAGTGAAAATAGGTTCAAGTACCTGCATGTGAAGCAAGGAACCGACCCTGTTGGAAGGCTGGCAAGTCCTCTAAATCTGGCAGGGTGCTAGAGCACATCCGGAGCCACTCAACTCCTGTCCATTTGATGACCATGATGCGCACAGCAGAGCAATATTTGCACTCTGAGACTGCAATGAAAGTGGAGGAAGCTGCCCACAAGTCTCTGTTTGAAAAGGCAGATGGTGTCTATGAAGCAATGGATGTGGCTGTGTGCAGTACCATGATAAAGTCAGGATGCACAGTTCTAGAACGGGGGCTACTGCGCAGAGTCTTGTACCCCTTGGTTCTGGCACTGGAAGGTCGACTGAAACACGACATCCAGAGTTCCGAGGCTACTGCAGGTCTTGGAACTTTGCAAACTCGCTACATCTCTGAAAGGTTCAGATGGTCCTGGAGTCCGTAAGGCCGTAAGGCAATTCAGCCATGGATACAATGTACATCTGACAAAGTGGAACAATACGAACAATGTTAATAACAATGTTTTCATGGATGCCAAACTTGACTGTCGTGGGCCGCGCAAGCGATCGCGATTCGCGTTTGGTAAAGGACTGGACGTCGGACTCTCCAGGACTCTTGGATTGATGGCAGCGAAACCTCAGTTCAACGGGAGCTCCAAGGTCAGATACACGGAGAAAAAAAGGTCCATCTAAGGGGCACATACTCAGCTTGGCTGTGCCGGTACTTGAAAAAAAACTTGGATTGTTGTCATGATTGCCTGTGGGTCCCTGCTTTAGCTGCCAGCTGGTTCTTGAAAAGAGTACTTTTGAGGTAAGTTTCCTCGGGGCAGGTGTTGCCCTTCCTGGCTTCTCTTCTTGTTACCTCGCTGGACATAAGTTATGTCCTTCTCAGAGTCCTTCTACACATGTGCCCCAAACTCACGCATGTGTTGGTCGCCAGACCCATTTCCATTCCGGCTTGCAAAAAAGGTGCTGCTTGATAAAGCTGGCAGCGAAGTTGTTAGGTTGTTGAGGCGCAAAGCCCTTAAGCATCCATTACCAACCGTTCCAATATGATCAGAGACTCCTTACAGTGTTTCAGCCGGAGAAGTTCACAGAAAGTACTGGAACCAAACAACTCTCAAGTGGTCTAGATGCAGTGTTGGGGATGGCACTGATGACAGCATCTGCCTGGAAGATTTCATGTTTGGCCACTTTTGCATTTTCACTTCTTTGTTCAAAGGTCTAGGCATCTCATCCAACGCAGTTTCTTGCCAGGTGTCAGCAATTCTCATTGATCCAAGAAAATAAGGCAGGCCGCATGAAGGGTGGAGTCTGTCGCTCAATCGAGAGATATCGAGAGTTTTTTTTTCATCTTATATTTCTTTCGTGTAGTGAGATCAGGAATGATCAGGATCACCACTTTCTGATTCCTGCACTCAGCATGGACAGCATCAGGTGCTGAGCGTTGTGAATGTGATGAGATGCACGTACCAAACGTGCAAGCGGGTTGGCAATTGCAGCGACTGCATGCCATGGACGCAATTTCACTGCATTATCTGCATTGGCGGTGGTGCGAACCGGTGACCGCTCCTGAGAGCATGAATAATATGCAAACTTTGCAAATCAGCAACATAGATCAACATAGGATCTTTAGATACCTTAGATATCTTTACAGTCAGTCTACATGAGATGTTCAATGACTTTGGAGGAGGTCAGTCTTTAGGATCTTTGCAATGAAGCTTTTCTGCCTGGGCCAAGAGCGGGACCCCCTTGCACATACTCAGTGTGCAAAGCGCTGCGCAGTGTACCAGGATGCCTGCAAATGGAGTTTTGATCACAAGATGTTCTTGGTATCCTTTCCATTCCTTCCCTAAACTTGTGTTTTTATTGACATGAAACAAACGGTTGGAGCACGTTGGAGCAAAAGGGCAATCAGTTGTATTGTGTACAGCAACCATGTTCAGTGACGCTGTACAGGAACGGCAGCTTGATGGATAGTGTGCGTTTCGCTCCAGAGTTTGCAGACGTTTCCAACAAAAAATGATGAGCCAGCAAACGTTACCTGGTGCTACAATATCTACAATGGAAATCAGGCTATCTCAGTCTCAGATGGCTAAAATCTGCTGCCTTCAGTATACTTGCTTCACCTTCGGTGCGCACAAATCGTTCTGACCTCAAATGTCAGCTCAAACGCCTATATATACTATAATCACTGAGCGATCAGACCACCAAACATGAGACATACACAGTATATACACACAGTTGGAAATGATGAACAATTAAAAATTTACTGGTGCACACACACACAGAAAGCATATCATTTGTGTTAGTGGCAGTTTGTAGGGAAGCTAAATTCAGCCTCCTTCGGTTGACGCCTCTGTGAAGCCACTCAAAACCACAATAATCCACAATAACTATATACTTCTTTTTCTATACGTAGATCTGACAAAAATATACACAAGTAACCCTCAAGCTTGTTTTATCTCGAAACATGTTGATACAGCAACTCATCAATTGCAAGTGTTGCATTCGCATATCGCCAGACGTATCCGGCAGACACTTGCCATGTGCGATGTGCTCGGCCCGCCCCAGCTCATTTGCATCTTCCAGCGATACGATGTTTACAGGCCACCCCCGAAAAGTAAGCATGTGCAGGAATGTTCAGTAGTTCAGGATGTGCGGATCTGAGAATCAAAAAGAACATTGAAGAAGACTTATATAAGACTTTTGAATATTTGCCAAATCAAGTTAAGATGCACAACCCCGAGCCATTTTGGTACAAACGAGCCCTCGATAGCCCTCGAATGCTTTGGAATACTGTCAGGAATCGCGGCTCCGTCTTTGTGTTCGGAATTGATAAAGCGTGCCTCTCAGATGATCAACAAAGATGCTATGGTCCTGACAACCAGGAGCTGAGTAAAGTCCTTGAAATTCTTGAAATGGAGGAATAGCACCTTGTTGTCATTTGCTGGTAAGTTCAATCGAGGAAGCATTCGAGTCCGAACGCCGAACGCTTTTTCAGGTGTTTAGGGGCCCATTAGGGGCTACGCGGCTGTTTGGATATGGCAATGCTCTTGTGTGAAAGGGATCTCCTGCCTGAGGTCAACCAACAGTTCAGCTGCTTGCGAATTCCCCGCGCAGTTCAGTCTGAAGAGCCACCTACTCCGCTCGAACTGTCGGAAGGCCTTGGCTGCATGTGTCGGGGACTGGGATAATTCGATTGAATTTGCATGAATTGGCCAGGTGAACGATGCTATCCCTTGGAACAGATGCAGGAACACCGAAGGTGCAGAAATGGAGTTCCGCAGCTTCCAGCTTTGTCACCCCGTCTTCAGATGTTGTCTCCACACTTCCAGTTTTTTTTCACCTGGGAGCATGTTTTTTTTTCTGTTTTTTTCACCTGTGATGAAGAGAACTGGGGCTTACTTTGGCTATCTTTGGCTTGCATTGGAAATAATTGGAATATGTTCGAATTCGATGTCAAAAGCCTTGCCATCGATATCATGTAGGCAGCTTCCGCACTTGGAGGAGGTGAGCCGGTGCACGAATATGTCGTGGTCATGCCTTGCTCATCAAATAGTACTGAGACATACTGAGACCATCTGAGACCCTTCATTTCGTCAGCTCCGGTGATCAACATATTCATGAAGTTAGACTTAGACTTTACTTAATCATACTTAATCTTCATGTCTAAGCTTCAACTTTACCTAGTTTACCCACCATCCGTTTGGAGAGGTGGCCCTGAAAGCCTCTGGCTTGGTCGGTTTCATCCGCTTTACCTCTGGGTACGGGCCTCAACGATGATGTTCTATGTGTATTATGTGTCTACAAGGTGAAGTGGAACACTACAGTATTTGGTTGGGAGGTTCGAACGAAAGCTGCCACTGGTTGAACCACTGGTAGATGCACAGAAATGAGAACCAACATGTCTAGGTTCTACCTGATTCTCATCAAGAAGCACAAGAAGGCCAGTGTACGAAGTGTTTTCTTTAACAGAAAAACGAAAGCATGCGAAGCTGCTGCCATCGCAGGTTGGCAGGATTGGCCAGACGCCTACCTACAGGATCCTGCAGATGCCTGCAATATTTCCGTGTGTTTTATTCTATTTCCAACCATTTCCAACATTTTCCAACACTTTGTTCCAGTTTTGTGCCCGGTGTCTGTACAAAGTGTCCAAATCGATGTGAGGTCACCACAACATTTTGTCCATAGAGTCCACCACTCTGGTTCCGCTTTTCAATGATGCGTCCAAGTCCAATCCTCAGCGGCAACGGTTCTGTCGCTTCCGATGGTTGTGACGCTTGTGCCAGGGAAGAGAAAGGCTTTGTGGACCAATTCAACAGGCAAGGAGATGGCGTGAGATGACCCCACTCCAGCGCAGCAGACTCACCGAGACGACAACATTAGTTGAACTTTGCAGAATTTGTTGCCAGGTTCAACTTGTGCAAGGAGAACATCTCGCTGCAACTCTACCCGGCATTTTCTGTCCCTATCTGGAAAGATTCCAGCAAGCGTAATCGAAGGACTAAGATCATCAAAGATCATCCAAGATCAAATTCTGGGCTCCAAAACCCAATGCTTTCGATCACGACTGGTTCCACACTCTGCTTGCTAGGCACACGAATTGGATCCGTTTTGATCCATTTTGGCTCTGCGCAGTGAGATCATGGATTCCAATGGATTCCATGTAAACTGGAACCAGAAGCTCAGCCCCTTACCTAGCCCTCCAGCCCTCCTCAAGGCCCTCCCATGAGTCTTTCATAGTCTTTCACTGAACACTGAAAGCATTGTTTGGTAAGATACACCACAGATTCAAGACCAAAGTTTGATAAAGTTGAAGATCATGGAATAGCAGGAATAGCTCTCCTGTTTGCTATCCGCAAAGCCATCGGAGACTTCCACCATGCAGATAACGGGATAAGAGTGCAATGGCTGCCAGAACTCATTGAACTGTTTGGGTCGATGAGTCCATGAGTTTATGGCTTTTGAAGCCTTCGTGAAAGCCACTGTGGTTGGACCGGTTGGATGCTCGCCCAAGGCGCCCACGGCGCCCAAGGCGTGTGACGCGACTGACGATGTGAAGCTGCCGCCACGGCCGAGGTCGGCGGTGGCGGCCTCCTTTCGACGCCCACTCCCTTCACCGCGACCGCCTTCGACTCGCTTGGAACGAGAAAGAAATCCATGGCGAAAGAAGAAAAAATCGAAGCCCAAGCTCGACAAGCTCCAGCAAGTTCTTCACCCGCTTCACCAAACTCACACTTCACAACTTTCACAACTTTCACAACTTCCAGCTCCAGAAAAAGCCGTTGACCGTCTCGAGGACCTGGAACCGGAATCACCGATGAGTCGATGCGACAGCCGCAAGGCGTGCCGGGCGAAGATTCGCCGGCCTTGGCGAGAACCGCCAGTGCCCACTTCGCCCAAGTCAGACCCACTCTCTCCGAAGTCGAGGCAAGAAATGCATAGAAATGCAAGATTTTCATCGAATTTCTGGGACATGACAGTCATGACAGTCATGATTCATGTCATGATGATGTCATGATGTCAAGTACTACAATGATGTATGATTTTGTATGACATTGTAGGACACATAAAAAACATGTGCACAACTATCATCAATTCTAGATTCTAGACATGTGATCTCATGGAGGCAGTTAAGGCAGTTTGCTCAAACAAGGCATACAGGCTGAACTTCAGCCATTCCTTGCAGGTGGAAGAATGCAGTCGATGCTATAACTGCCAGGAACTCTGACCTGGTGAAGCAACGTTCAAACATGAGTCAGTCTGTACGGCGACGTATTCGAGCCTTTGACGAGCGAATGGCGATCCTTGCGAATGGAGGGGCGAAGGTAGCAGCCAATGAGAACAGTGACAGCGAAAGTGATCAAGGCGAGGGGGAGGACATTCAAAGATCCCCCGTGGTACCAGAATTTTTTTTTCCTGTAGGTCCAGTCCGAAAATTAAAAATGCCAAGTCAGGAAGAAAATCATCCCACCATGAATGTTGCAAGGTTAGGGCTCAGGAAAACAAATGTTGGAGCCAGGAAAGCAGGATTAGTAACATAAGGTTGTACCACAGGATTTTATATGTTTTGGGGATTTGCTTGCCAGGATTGCATGGTTTTCCAAACAAGGTTGGGGTACAGGAAAAAAATCTCTGGGCCAATCTGTCGAACAGGAGAGGGTAGGATCTACATAAAGGTTGTGATCATACTTTTTAATGCATTTCAGTGGTTTGTAAAAAGGTTTAATCCGATAGCTTCACTGGATTTTAATTATGAACAGTTATGAACCATTGAAAGACCATCTATTGAGTGAATCTTTGTCAAAAGACGTTGTGGGGCAGGATTTTATTTAGTTTTGATCTTTGGCGATGTATCAGCCACGCTGGGTTTTCAGTCATTTGGCATGTGGAAGACTTCGCCCGGATAGCTGTCAGTTGTTGATATTGTAGATCCTCCTCTGTACTACCAGTCTTTTTTCCTGGGGGTTCAGTACGCTTTTTAAAAAACACTATTTTCCAAAAATCTAGCAGACAGTGGGTGAGGGTCCCGGGGCATGATATGGGGCCAGGAATAAAATATCATACCAAAAAAGGCCCAGATTTTTTTTCCTGGAAGCTTGCTGACGTACAGTGACAGGAAATCAATTCTGTCTGTTGTGATTGAGGGGGGGTTGATCTATCAGTCTGTGTATGTAAGGCATCAGGAAATCAATCATGAATGACTCTGATAATGGGAAAGTTTGTAGAATTCCCAAGGTTAGTAGCCAGGAATTTGAAGGTGGATGGATCAAATGGGAGTTTACTAGAACATATCTAAATGTCAAACCCCAGGAAAAAAATGTACCATGATTAATTGAGGGGGTATGATTCTTTACATGACTTTGCAAAAGGGTACAAACACATATGTTCACCTTCACCAACCAAAAAAGTGACTTCAAGAGGCCAAGGTGCAGGGGTCAAAAATAAAATCCAAGGGGCTGGACCTTTTTTGACTGAATACTTGCGGATGATCTTCAAAGGTTGGCCCCACAGGAAAAAAGTCGCATCTCCAGGCCAATCATCCACAGATAGGACATGATGGGACGAATTCAAGAATTTTGTGTCAACGCGCCCGAATTGCAAAACCGGCGTTTTTCTTTCTGAAAATACATTTGTCCTTGCAAAAGGGGTACAACCACATATGTTCAGCTTCACCAACCAAAAAAGGTGACTTGAAGAGGCCGAGGCGCAGGCGTCAAAAATAAATTCAAGGGGCTGGACCTTTTTTGACTGAATACTTGCGGATGATCTTCAAAGGTTGGCCCCACAGGAAACAAGTCGCATCACCAGGCCAATCATCCACAGATAGGACATGATGGGACTAATTCAAGAATTTTGTGTCAACGCGCGCCCAAATTACAAAACATATGTTTTTTGCTGAAAATGCATTTGTCCTTGCAAAAGGGTACAACCACATATGTTCAGCTTCACCAACCAAAAAAAGGTGACTTGAAGAGGCCGAGGCGCAGGTGTCAAAAACAAATCCAAGGGGCTGGACCTTTTTTTGGCCGAATTCTTGTGGATGATCTTCAAAGGCTGGCCCCACAGGAAAAAAATCGCATCACCAGGTCAACCATCCATAGATAGGAAATGATGGGACAAATTGAAGAATTTTGTTCCAACGCGTGGCCACATTGCAAAACAGGCGTTTTTCCCTGAAGATACATTTGTCCATGCAAAAGGGTTGCGCATTGCCGTGGGCATCTGCCGGACCGCACTCGTGAAGCCGTGGACTCTGAAAAACTGCGAGCTGTCAGCCGGGAAGTCAGGTGCCAGGAATTCATTTTTTTCCGTATCAGATTGAGGGGGGGAAGATATGGCATGTTACCAACGCAAGCATCCAGGAAATTTTTTTTTACTTGGATATCAGAGGGGTAAATTTATTGGATGTTGGACGTTGGGCACCAGGAAATTAGCAAAGAAAATTCAAAAAGGTGGTTGGAAGTGAGATTTCGGCTTCAGAGGTTAGGAGCCAGGAATTTAAAGCTCTAAAACCTCTCTCAAAGGTTAGGGGTCATCATTTTAGACCGATTTTTTTCTAGGACTGTACCCCACGTTTTTGTACCGACGGGGATATTGTAGAATGAGGCTCGAACATGCAGGGTGATGGTCCGATTGTCAAAACAGGTCCAATAGAGAGAGAGAGAGAGAGAAACAGTTCTGGACCTCCAAAGCCTAGTGTCATCCATCTCCCCGTCTTGAAAGATCTTGACAGCATGCGAGCAAAAAAATGATGGAGCCGGTGGAAACCCTGTGACCCAGGATTTGAATGATATGACAAGAGAAGTGTTTATGCCAAACCCTCAGCAGTTTTTGAAAGGTCGTGATCTTCCAATTCAATCGACTTGACGATCTGAATGGGGTAGGTACACATGTATCATCATGAAGGTTATGACCCAGGAAAAGAGTTGTGTCAGCGCAATGGTGGACCAGGAGAAATGTTAGTCCACATAAAGGTTGTGGAACAGGATTTTAATTTGTTTGCCCGGGAAATTGCAACTTGGTTGTTGGCTTTCGGAGCTAAATCCGTTGGGTTGTACCCTTTGGAAATCAATTCCAAAAGGTTGTGGACCAAACGGTTTAAGGCATTTTTTCCAGGACTGGACCCTTTTGACCGGTACCACGGGGGATATTCAAAGGATCACGAACAACATCGAACAGTCAAGATAGTGATTCGAATAGATTCGAGATGATTCGAGCAATTTATATTGATACTGTGGAGAATAGCAGTATCAGTATGACAATGAATACGAGCTGCTTCCTCATTAACTCATCAGGGAAGAGGTCAGGTTACAGATAGGGAACAGTCCTACAATTTTTCTGGAAAGTGACTGGTGATGATCGTCACATATCGTCACCCTGTCAGGAGATCAGAAGCAGCCTGGCAGCCACATTTATGACGCTTGTGTGTTTTGCCAGTGATGTCCAGTGCTGTGATAACAATGACATGCCACAAGATTGAAGTGGAAACTCTGCAGTTTGGACTTGGTCATACTTGGTCCAATTATTACATTATCTTACCAAAGTATACAAACATATACTATAATATACTAAACTCATCTAGAATTATTGTTATCTGGATGTTCACCAATGCTGCTCTGTCTAACATGCACAACATGCCACTGGCGAAGGTTACTGGACTTGGCCTTTGCCATGGAGCAAAAGGAGGACCTGTTGTCCTGTTTGACGCCAGCAGCCGCTACGCTCGCTACGCTCCCGTGTCCCCGTAAAATGCCATAGTGATCCATAGTGTACTTACATGATTTTACAGCAAGCAAGGCCGAGATGCGGCGGGGCGGATACCCAGTTCTCGACATAGTAAGTGTTGTTATTTGTTGTTCATATTGTTGTTCATATTGTTCATATTAATTGTATTAGTGATCCTGTTCTATTCGATTTGTTTTTGATTGGTATCGGCTGCCACCAGCCGGCGAGTTACGCAAACCAGGAGAAGGAGGAGTTGGTCGAAATGCCATGCAAGGCCATTGAGAATCGCCATTGACTTGGCTAAATAGCGCTGTTACACACCAATCCCAATCTTATAATAGGATTAATAAGCAGTGTGAGGTTTATCTAAACGTGTCTCTCTTAGGTGCATCACCCTTGCTTGTAAGTACATCACACTTTTCATGAATGTGTTTGTACATTGTATAGGTATGATACACTCATGTGTCTGCGTGCGTCGGGTCCCAGAAGTGCCATCAATGGGTTTTTCAGAACTGCCTCTACCAGACACCTGACGACGCCTGACGAGGTGATTTCGTGGTCATCCCAGCGTGGCAACTTTCCAGCCTTCAATCTGCTGGGCACGTCTAGCTGCTGGCAGAGTGAAATTGGCATGAGCCTTTGCGCCCAATATGTTGATATATGTTGATATCGGGAAATGGACCGAACAGGTGGAGATTTTAGCGCCCAAATCTGGAAGATAGTTTGAGATGTTTGAGATTCTTTCTTTTTTCTTAGCAGGCGCAGTATATACCGTTTCTATCCGTTTCTTCAGGACCCGGGACCAACATCTGACATTTGAGCTGGAGGATGTTCCAGCGACCTAGCTGCAAAGGGAACGTGCATGAAAGGCAAAGCAGCTTGGCTCTGCGCTGACCAGACACATAGGAAATTCATGGAAATTCTGACTTGAGCAAGTGTGTGATATTGTGTGATATCTTGTCATGAAGCATAGCCGGATGGCTGGGAGGCACCGCTTGTGGCCATTCAGATGGAGGTAGTGACCAAGGACTCTTGAAATTCCGATCTGCTCCAGATGAAGTGAGCCAGTCTTCCTTACAGATTTCAAAATCATGGCAGTCGAAAACTCCACCAATGAAGTTCCTAAATGTTCATTCTTGGTGAGTATTCAGCAGTTACAGCAGTCTGATTTATCTTAATTTGTTATATTTTGTCCGGGCTGGAAAATCAAGCAGTCCACATACTCCTACACTCCCACACATTTGTGCATTTGCAGGAAGTTACACCGAAAAGATGCAAGTTGATGTTGCTTGGGTAGCAAAGCAGCTATATCATGCTATATCCAGAAGACGATTCTAGAAGCATTTTTGGTATACTAAAGATGACTAAAGAGGTCTTTCTGATTCTTCATGCTTGATTTGTCACCAACTTGTTGCTCACCTGCTCCCTCAATCATCGGTTCGGCTCTGCTGATGTCCCTTCAGGTTTTCAACCAATTCACCAATGGGGCCCTGGCAAACCGCCTGGACATTTGTTGCCGGAGTCCAAATTTTCCCAAATCATGCAAGTTCAAGATCTGGGGTTTGAGAGGCATTGAGTGTGGACCTATTTGCCTGTCACGCCATAGTCATTTTCAGCGAGCCCAGGTACCAGAACACGTTGCAGAGCGTGGCCTAAGATTCTTCAACAAGTCGAAGGAGGAGAGGTTTTGGAACGCGCTTGCTTGAGAAGCATTCCGCAGCATTCAAGAAGCAAAGTGATGTGAGTGTGAAAGATTGTGAATGTTTTTTTTTGAAAGCAACATGATGCACATCGATGTGCATTGATGTGCTTGGGAAGTCATGGAGTTCAGCGAGCTGGCTCTGGCAAGTCCAGGGACAGGCGCTGTCCAAAGCTTGGTATGTTCGATGACAGGAAATCAAGAGCGGAATGGAATCAGCTCCCTGGTGGCGTTTGGCAATGGCTGATAACTATGGCTCCCAGGCACTTCTCCATATTGGAATGGCTTGGAATGGGTGGAATGATACTGTAATGACTCAATCGTGACATATTTGAATTTCAGTCTCACTCATCATTATAATATATATTAATATATAATAATAATCCTTTTATCAATGCTTATCAACAGTGGAGGCAAATGAGGCAAGAAGTAGCATGGTCATCTGCGCAAATATGTTTCCAGCATTTTCCACCTATTCATAGGATTTAGGATGGGATTTAGGAGCTTCATGGAGCTTCCATCTATATTAGGTATAGTTCATCTAGTTCATCTAGTTCCTGGTGGCCTCAGGGTGGTGCAATTTTTCGGCATTTTTCCCGTCTCCTGTTTCAAATATATAACATCAATTCAGTGGAGCAACTCCAGTGTGATCTTGGAATTCACACTATTCTAACATCATTTTGCACCCACAAGTCTAGAAATTGACAGGTAGCAAGCTTCTGAGGTTTTGATATGCAGAAAGCCCCTAGAGCACAGTTCTGACCTTATATGGCTGGATTACCATCCACACGGGGGGTAAATGGGTTTATTTACCCTGTTAGACCCGTTAGACCCCACCCATTTCCCCGCTTGTTGCTGGGAGGTTGGTGCACCTTGTACACATACACTGTAGAGGTTGAGGGGTACATCTTGAAGTCCTGAGACCAAAAGATATTGAGACAAGATCAGAAAGCTACACAGGAGTCGAGAGATTTCTCGCAGCAGGCTCCATTGTGTTCTTATCTTTGATCTTTTCATATTAACCTCATGAACATCTTGAAAAGATGACATCATTCAACACATGCTACCCTCTGGCTGTTTAACCTAGCTATGGAAAATCACAATGTTGAACTGAATAGGCAAATCATCATAAACTATCTATAAATGGGCCATTTTCCATAGCTATGTTAAATAACCAGAGGGTACCTATTCAGGGGATGCAGAACTCTCGTGCGGATGAAAACGCAGCGATTTCAAACAATATATTTCGCAGTTAACACCCCTTTCCTGTTTGTGGTGCAGCCCGGTGCAGCCTAGCGTGAACAAATTTCCCTTCTGTCTCCGTCGTGCCATGTTGCCAGGCATGTATCGCCATTGCTGCTCCGCTGAAACTCCTGGTAGAAGAGCGAGGAGACGACAGGTTTGATGACAGGTTTGCCAATGTTTGACAAGTAGGTTTGCCTGTTAAGGAGCGTGACGGGTACCACACTTTTCGAGTTTCAACACTTTGAACGATTTCTCTTGAGCTCTCGAATGCAAGCGTCGGGAACATCAACACATGGCTTGAAGGAGATCATGCTCGCTTGAAACAAGTCAAGAAGACCACCATCTCTTCTTTCTTGGACAATTTTAGCTTTGCAACTTGTCATAACTTGTCATAACTTGTCTTTCGAACATTTAGAACGACTTCACTTTCAAATCTTTCAGATCTTTCAGCAGGTGTTGGTCATGCTGACATTTCAATGCGCACCAAGGGGCAGGCTCGCCTGGTGAGCAATCTGTCCGCAGAGGAGAAGATGGACAAAAGGTTGCCAGACTTATCCAGATATTCCAGATTTCATATGCCAGGTTGAAGATCTTGGAAATTTGACTTCCCGCATATTTGGGGTGTTTTCCAGATGAATTGCAGGCTGTCTCAAAATGCCAACCCTTCTTCTCAATATTCCCAACGGGATCTTAGGCTGGCAACAACCTACAAGCTGGACCCTGAATTCATCGCAGAAGCTCACGAGCACTTCAATGCAATGGATCGGACAAAGTGTGGCTGGCTCCCGAGAGTGACCTAGGTGAGAACTGCTTCACAACATTCCTGTCAACTCTTGTATGAATTGTACATATTTGTTACATATATTTTTCACATATTGGTTACATATTTATAAATACATAATTGTATTACAATGTATTACATCTATTTGAGTGTTTGGCCTCGGTGCCTCAGGTCGCTGGAATAAGAAAGACTGGCAGACCTGGATGGTTCAGCCACGTGTCTGAAAATGGGGACGAAGTGACGAAGTGTGCAGCCTGGACTGTCTGACGAAACATGTTGACAAAACTGAATGCAACGAAGGCAACGAATGCAACGAATGCAACGAATGCAACGGCAGCTACTGTATAGAATGCTGATGAATGCTGTCTGATGCTGTCTGTATTGTGCTCCAAATTGCTCCAAGACATCAAAGACGATCTCTGAATTTCTTCCTGAGTGTTCTACAAATTTTACCTGCTTCATCCTGTTTGATAGCTTTTCAGGTTTTCTGTTTTTACCTTTCCTGTAGCAGTTCCCCGAACCGACATGCATCGGATGGCTAGGAAAATCATGGGAAATGTATGAACATCTCAGGTTCATACCTCAAAGGGAGCGCAACAAAGCCACCTCTGAGCGAATGACCTTCTTCTGGAATCGGATGGAAAAGCTTCTTGACAGATTTCACCAATTGTTGACCAACTGCCCAACGAGTTTTTCAATTGTGTTTAGGGTCAAAACTGGCCAACTCCAACTTCTCCGACAACTTCAAGCGCACCCACAAAATGGCTTGGTGATGGTTTGTGATGTTTCATGCGTTTTCTATGGTTTTCTCATTGTTTTCTCATTTTTCCTTTCCAAGCTGCGAAGATATGCCGAGGGATGCTGACTTTACCATCGACTTCGAAGAGTTTGTGATTTTTTTGCATGTGCTGAACAAGACGGCGGAGGGCTTTCAGATGAGCTTCGGCGAACTTCTGTTCCCGGGCATCGTCAAGAAGGAAGTACCCGAAGGCCAAGAGGAAGAAGTGCAAAAGCCGCAGGAGGAACTCAGCAATCATCAACTGTGGTGCTCTCTTGGAATCAAAGGTAACAATTGAGGATGTATTGTATTTATATATTGCATGTCTTTGACAGGAAAATTATCTATATTTTGATCTATTAAATTTATGAAAGTATATTATATAACAATTTAATGGGGAATTATGCCTTGCAAAAAGGTGTTGCTGTAATCGAATGTAATCGTTAGCTCTGCCACAAGGAGACGGTGCGAGACCCTCACGAGATGTCCTGGAAGTTGAGCAGAAACAAACAGGAGGGAAGACTGAGGGAAGTGGGCCATTCACATTGTGATTGACAAATTGATATTGGTCAAACTATGTGAAACAAGTAAAGATCCAAACTCTGTTTGATCTGTATGCGCTTCATCATGTTCAATCTATCCCCGTCTAGTCTAGTTTTCAAAATTACATTGATGCCCAGGCTCATAGCCATAATTCCATGACAACTCGTGACACCTTCCACAGTTTTAGCTACTGCAATCAGCAATCCCTTGGAAACAACTGCATTTGAATATGAGCATTTGCCGGCCACCAACTTTGACATTAGAGTGTGCTTCTGAGCTGTATAGCGTGCACATCATAAACCCGGAAAGGGAAACACTAGGAAATATCATGAAATATGTGTATATAATTTATAATCTTCATTAACGCTAGTGACAGCTAGAAAGTCTTGCGCTGCGCCATGCTATGCCAGTCGACTGGGACATATTTAGATACTGAAGGCGCTAAAGGACTCGAAACAACTCTAAAGTCCAACCTCAAAATTCAACTCTTGGCGCTTCACTTACATGGGACACGGTACTCGCACACAACCGTCACAACCTTTCCTTTCAAAGGAGGAGCTCATCCGTGGCGTCGTGGCGCAAAATCTGCCAAACCGCCGAGGTTCGCTGCTTGGACCGATGCCAGAGATGCCAGAAATCTCTATTACGCAGGCACGGCGGAGTGACGCGTCTCGCACGCGTCAAAAGCCCAAAGAGCCCCTGAATTTAGCACGTGCATCACTCCTGTTTGCTCAGAGCGGCAATCCTGAGAGTGACCCCGGATCTCCTTGATGGCAACCGCGCAGCGTCACAGCGTCACAGCTTCTTGGGCATGTGGCATGGCATTTGATATTTTTGAGGTGGTCTCAAAAACTGCGCCTTAAACTTCCAGCTGGACAAAAGACAGCTGGGTTACATTTGGTTATCCTTACAGTATATGTGGTATTGTTTTGTCATCCCCAGATTTTTCACACTCTTTGAGCACTCTTTTGGCTTCAGGTCAATGAGACCCTCTCATGTGTACAAAGATTCAGCTTGAAACCCTTCCAGGCGAAGCCTTGGGGTTCCCAAGCCAGACTCCCCTTGGTATGACCATTGAATGGGATACCAAGAAAACTGTCATCAGAAAGCTTGGAGGATTTGTTGAGGCCGATTCATGGATGGGATTTGAAACCGGAGTAGCCATGGGCAAAGGCACGGAATACTGCAGTAGCGGTTTAGGAAATACGAACAATTAGTCTAATCCTGCAGGCATTATACGTACGAAACGGAAGAGGTTTTTGCGCCCAGATTTGTAGATATGATGCGCTACCAAAGACAGAACTGGAAAACCACAGCCTAGGATGCGTCACAGACGCTCTGAATAGCCTCAAAATCTTCCAGAATCTCATCATGCGCAAAGATTGATTGAAAGGATTGGACCTGCTTAACTATGGTTCTTCCAACCCAAAGCGGAAAATTGACTTGTTTCATTGAGACAAGCAGATTACGATTGTAAGTTGCAATGAGGTCCTTTTTCTCATTCCCTGTTTAAATGTACATGACTCATCTGCCCTCATTCAGCTTAAGCCTGACACCTCAGCGGCGTGCCAATACTTTGCCTTTAGGACTTCTACTTCTCATACTCCTACGAGCTCAGCCGCACCATGCAGCAGAATTTGGCCGATGCAAAGCGTGCGTCTCACGGTCGTTGCCCCGGATATGCTTTGTGAAACTCTTTGCCACTGCTATAGGAGAGAGGTGCTACTGTGGGTGGAAGAAATCCTGCACCAGTTGATTGGTGGTTTATCCCATTATAGAATGGGCTAGCGCCCAGGTGCCGCCGACCCCCCTCTATTTGGGGGGCACTGTGGGGAGAGAGAGAGAGAGAGAGACAGAGAGGGAGAGGGAGAGGGAGAGGGAGAGATGGATGGATGGATGGATGGATGGATAGATAGATAGATATATAGATAGAGGGAGAGAGAGATAGATCGATGGATAGATAGAGGGATAGAGAGAGAGAGATAGATTGATAGATAGGTAGATAGACAGTTAGATAAACAGGTGGATAGATCGATTGTTGGACAGATGGATAGATAGAGGGACAGAGAGAGAGAGGGAGAGAGAGAGAGAGAGATAGATGACAGATAGGTAGATAGACAGTTGGATAAACAGATGGATAGATCGATTGTTGGATAGATAGATAGTGGCATGGGAAGAAAGACGGATGGATTGATATATATACCTTGAGTGTCAAGGACCCTCCGTTTTGGAGGGTTTGGAGGGTTTTGGAGCGTTTGGAGTGTTTGCGGGCTGGCAAACGGTACCTTTGCAAGCCCATAGAAAGCTATGCTGCGGCCTTGGCCCTGGGGTGCCTGTTGGGGAAGTGGCCTTGGCCCTGGGGTGCCTGCTGGGGACGGTGTTTGGAGGGTTTGGAAGGTTTTGAAGGGTTTGGAGGGTTTTGGAGGGTGTTTGGAGGGTTTGGAAGGTTTTGGAGGGTTTGGGGGGTTTGGAGGGTTTTGGAGGGTGTTTGGAGGGTTTTGGAGCGTTTGGAAGGTTTTGGAGCGTTTGGAGTGGGTTGGAAGGTTTGGAAGGGTTTTGGAGTGTTTGGAAGGTTTGGAGGGTTTTGGAGGGTGTTTGGAGGGTTTGGAAGGTTTTTGGAGGGTTTGGAGGGTTTGGTGTTCGAAGGGTTTGGAGGATTTTGGAGCGTTTGGAGGGTTTTGGAGCGTTTGGAGTGTTTGCGGGCTGGCAAACGGCAGCTTTGAAAGCCAATAGAAAGCCATTGCTGTGGCCTTGGCCCTGGGGTGCCTGGTTGAGAAGTGGCCTTGGCCCTGGGGTGCCTGTTGGGGAAGGTGTTTGGAGGGTTTGGAGGGTTTTGGAGGGTTTGGAGGGTTTTGAAGGGGGTTGAGGGTTTGGAAGGTTTTGGAGGGTTTGGAGGGTTTGGAGGGTTTTGGAAGGTGTTTGGAGGGTTTGGAAGGGTTTTGGAGGGTTTGGAGGGTTTTGGAGCGTTTGGAGTATTTGCGGGCTGGCAAACGGTACCTTTGCAAGCCCATAGAAAGCCCATAGAAAGGTGCCTGCTGGGGACGGTGTTTGGAGGGTTTGGAAGGTTTTGGAGGGTTTGGAGGGTTTTGGAGGGTGTTTGGAGGGTTTGGAAGGTTTTGGAGGGTTTTGGGGGGTTTGGAGGGTTTTGGAGGGTGTTTGGAGGGTTTGGAGGGTTTGGGAGGGTTTTGGAGCGTTTGGAGGGTTTTGGAGCGTTTGGAGTGTTTGCGGGCTGGCAAACGGCAGCTTTGAAAGCCAATAGAAAGCCATTGCTGTGGCCTTGGGCCTTGGCCCTGGGGTGCTTGTTTGAGAAGTGGCCTCGGCCCTGGGGTGCCTGTTGGGGAAGGTGTTTGGAGGGTTTGGAAGGTTTTGGAGGGTTTGGAGGGTTTTGGAGGGTTTGGACAGGTTTGGAGGGTTTTGGAGCGTTTGGAGCGTTTGGAGCGTTAGGGCTGGCAAACGGCAGCTTTGAAAGCCAATAGAAAGCCATTGCTGTGACTTGTTTGAGAAGTGGCCTTGGCCCTGGGGTGCCTGTTGGGGAAGGTGTTTGGAGGGTTTGGAGGGTTTTGGAGGGTTTGGAGGGTTTTGGAGGGTGTTTGGAGGGTTTGACGGTTTGGGAGGGTTTGGAGGGTTTTGGAGCGTTTGAAGCCTTTGCGGGCTGGCAAACGGCAGCTTTGAAAGCCAATAGAAAGCCGTTGCTGTGGCCTTGGCCCTGGGGTGCCTGATTGAGAAGTGGCCTTGGCCCTGGGGTGCCTGTTGGGGAAGGTTTTTGGAGGGTTTGGAAGGTTTTGGAGGGTTTGGGGGGGTTGGAAGGTTTGGAAGGTTTTGGAGGGTTTGGAAGGTTTGGAGGGTTTTGGAGGGTGTTTGGAGGGTTTGGAAGGTTTTGGAGGGTTTGGAGGGTTTGGAGGGTTTTGGAGGGTGTTTGGAGGGTTTGGACGATTTTGGAGCGTTTGGAGGGTTTTGGAGCGTTTGGAGCGTTTGCGGGCTGGCAAACGGCAGCTTTGAAAGCCAATAGAAAGCCATTGCTGTGGCCTTGGCCCTGGGGTGCCTGATTGAGAAGTGGCCTTGGCCCTGGGGTGCCTGTGGCGGAAGGTGTTTGGAGGGTTTGGAGGGTTTTGGAGGGTTTGGAGGGTTTGGAGGGTTTTGGATGGTGTTTGGAGGGTTTGGAGGGTTTTGGAGTGTTTGGAGGGTTTTGGAGCGTTTGGAGCGTTTGCGGGCTGGCAAACGGCAGCTTTGAAAGCCCATAGAAAGCCATTGCTGTGGCCTTGGCCCTGGGGTGCCTGATTGAGAAGTGGCCTTGGCCCTGGGGTGCCTGTTGGGGAAGGTGTTTGGAGGGTTTTGGAGGGTTTGGAGGGTTTTGAAGGGGGTTGGAAGGTTTGGAAGGTTTTGGAGGGTTTGGAAGGTTTGGAGGGTTTTGGAGGGTGTTTGGAGGGTTTGGAAGGTTTTGGAGGGTTTGGAGGGTTTGGAGGTTTGGAGGGTGTTCGGAGGGTTTGGAGGATTTTGGAGCGTTTGGAGGGTTTTGGAGCGTTTAGAGTGTTTGCGGGCTGGCAAACGGCAGCTTTGAAAGACAATAGAAAGCCATTGCTGTGGCCTTGGCCCTGGGGTGCCTGATTGAGAAGTGGCCTTGGCCCTGGGGTGCCTGTTGGGGAAGGTGTTTGGAGGGTTTGGAAGGTTTTGGAGGGTTTGGAGTGTTTTGAAGGGGGTTAGGGTTTGGAGGGTTTGGAGGGTTTTGGAGGGTGTTTGGAGGGTTTGGAGGGTTTTGGAGGGTTTGGAGGGTTTTGGAGCGTTTGGAGTGTTTGCGGGCTGGCAAACGGTACCTTTGCAAGCCCATAGAAAGCTATGCTGCGGCCTTGGCCCTGGGGTGCCTGTTGGGGAAGTGGCCTTGGCCCTGGGGTGCCTGCTAGGGACGGTGTTTGGAGGGTTTGGAAGGTTTTGGAGGGTTTGGAGGGTTTTGTTGGGAGGGTTTTGGAGGCTGTTTGGAGGGTTTGGATGGTTTTGGAGCGTTTGGAGGGTTTTGGAGCGTTTGGAGTGGGTTGGAAGGTTTGGAAGGTTTTGGAGGGTTTAGAAGGTTTGGAGGGTTTTGGAGGGTGTTTGGAGGGTTTGGAAGGTTTTGGAGGGTTTGGAGGGTTTGGAAGGTTTTGGAGGGTGTTCGGAGGGTTTGGAGGATTTTGGAGCGTTTGGAGGGTTTTGGAGTGTTTGGAATGTTTGCGGGCTAGCAAACGGCAGCTTTGAAAGCCAATAGAAAGCCATTGCTGTGGCCTTGGCCCTGGGGTGCCTGTTGGGGAAGGTGTTTGGAGGGTTTGGAGGGTTTTGGAGGGTTTGGAGGGTCTTGAAGGGGGTTGAGGGTTTGGAAGGTTTTGGAGGGTTTGGAGGGTTTGGAGGGTTTTGGAGGGTGTTTGGAGGGTTTGGAGGGTTTTGGAGGGTTTGGAGGGTTTTGGAGCGTTTGGAGTGTTTGCGGGCTGGCAAACGGTACCTTTGCAAGCCCATAGAAAGCTATGCTGCGGCCTTGGCCCTGGGGTGCCTGTTGGGGAAGTGGCCTTGGCCCTGGGGTGCCTGCTGGGGACGGTGTTTGGAGGGTTTGGACGTTTTGGAGAGTTTGGACGGTTTTCGAGGGTGTTTGGAGGGTTTGGAAGGTTTTGGAGGGTTTGGGGGGTTTGGAGGGTTTTGGAGGGTGTTTGGAGGGTTTGGAGGGTTTTGGAGCGTTTGGAGAGTTTTGGTGCGTTTGGAGTGTTTGCGGGCTGGCAAACGGCAGCTTTGAAAGCCAATAGAAAGCTATT